TTTAAGTCTAGGTATAAAGGCCAACTCAGACAGCGTCGTACGACGCAGCCCGACGCGATTTGTTGTCGCGTCGGGTCTGTGTGAGTTAAACGCAGACGCGAGGGTGTGCGCCGGGGGCAGTCGCGTCGTAGAATATTAAACATGTTTAATATTTCTCACGACGGCTTAAGACTGTCCCCGACGTTATTATTGTTGTTTGCACAGGCCATGTTGATTAAAGTATGATTCAAGTAACTTGTAGTTGTTTGTCGTTATTTCAATGTACGGAACGGCATAATATATACCTATGGTGGAGAACCCGTTTTTCATACGTTAATGAAAGAAATTTATTCCGGAATGTGGAATTTGGCTGTGTTGACATCGTTAATTGCACAACAAGGAACTTATAAAAGTATTCACATTTCCTTCTCCACGCTTTTGAATAACGATTATTTCCATTTCAGAGGATAAAATGTAATTTATTTTTATTATCTTACTGTTCGAATTTTTGGAAAACATTTAGAAGATTATTGTTATAAAGATGTTTAAATCTGGCAATTTTGACTTCTCTAATATTATTACAATAGGACAAAGTAAGAGAGTTTAATAACCCTTCCTCCTTACCTCCATTACATAGTTTGCAAGTGCCATCATCATTGAGAATGTTGCAAGTTTGTAGGTGAGAGAAAGGTTATTCGAGCGCAATTTAAATTTTAATGATGCACTATCAAATTCACATCTATTGAGAAGTCCATAAGTTGTGTAGGTACGTTCTTAATTGCCATATAGTCTTGTATTGATGACTTTACTATTGCCATCATTAAGCCAATGGGAGAGTAACAGATCTCTCATTTTAGAAGCCCAATCTGTGTTCACATCATTATCATCTTTTTGTAAATCTTAGGAATTTATCAGTCAGTGAGAATTTTTTTTTGTTTTTATACAATTAAATAGGAATTTTAAAGGCAATATAATTAAGATTATCTGATGTTTTACAATAGTTTTCAGTAACAATTTGGACCAACGATTGTCTTCCATTTGGAGTGGAGTTAAATAGCTTAGTAGTTAAGATGCTTGCCTTCTGATCCCAAGGTCCTGGGCTAAATTCATGTCACAGCAAGACTTTTTCTCACAAAGAGACTTGGTTTATAAAGCATCATTCTCATTCTGTAAGTGGCGAGTGTACTTGCTGTTGGATGTAAAGGAAATTCAAAATTTTTTTCAAAAACTCTTGAGTGAAATTAATTCTATATTTTGAATTGCAGAAACGTTTGACCGTCTATGTGGCGCAAGATGTATTACGGGGGCCTTTAAAATGAATATTGCCGCTTATAGTTGTAGTCTTTCGATTTTATCGGTGTCACTTTTACTTTCAACCCATATAGAGCTACCATAATGTATCAATGGGAGAGCAATCGTTCGCCATAGGATATCCCTGTACACTACTGAAACTGCTCAAAGTTCCTACGATAGACTAATTTATACAGTATATCCGATAAGGCGGTTATATTTCTGTACATGTTCAAGATGTTTATGGCCATTCATGAGTCTTGATATGCGACGAAAGCGGTTTGGTGCAGCGGGAATGGTTGGTTTCCCAACTTCGAGGTCGGGGCCAATCTGAATAAAATTACCATCCTTATGGTCCAATCGATGGTGTTGTAGGCCTTTATTATCGGAATATGCAAATTAGAATAATAGGCCTATGTACATGATTTCAATCGATTTTTTTAAACATGAACTGTCTTTATATATATATTTAATAATATGCCTATGATTATGAAGGGTAATCATGTATTTATTGCCAATTTAGTCTAACTTGCAGGCGTGCTCCGCCTAGGGACTCGGGAGTACGGGCATCCCCCGGAATTTTTTTCTGATGCCCAGAAATGCATTCTTTGCCACTTTAGTATTTTTACAGTTGAAGAAAAAAAATGCGGAATCCTAACAGATTTTGAACATTTCATTTATCATGGCATTCCGATATGATTTATGTTTAGCTAATGATCTTAATCTGTACAAATACTCTAACGTATCTAATTTAAGCGATTTAGATTCAATATCCTTTTTTAATTGTAAAAATAATGTACATTTTGAACGGTCTTTGTATCCCTTCAACAAAAATTGACATTGTAGTATTGAACTGAATTGCAACAACATTAACAAAACAAAGCACAACACAGTATATATACATGCAAAAGGTATAACAATATAAACATTTAAAAGAAAAAAATCGCAACAATCACAAAGGACCACACGCTCATGAGCAATGAAAATTTCAAGTCAAATAAGCAAAATAACGATAAAATTGATTCCTAAAAAAGATCGTTAAGAAAAAACATTTATTATTAAAAACAAAAATTGACATTGCAGTATTGAACTGAATTGCAACAACATTACCAAAACAAAGCACAACACAGTATATATACATGCAAAAGGTATAACAATATAAACATTTAAAAGAAAAAAATTGCAACAATCACAAAGGACCACATGCTCATGAGCAATGAAAAATTCAAGTCAAATAAGCAAAATAAAGATAAAATTGATTCCTAAAAAAGATCGTTAAGAAAAAACATTAAAATTACAATTAAAATTTACAAAATTGAGATAAAATTAGATTAATATAAAAATAGAGGAATTTGATTTAATTTGTTACCTTATATAATGATTCGTTTGAAATGATTTAGGGCCTACATATACTATGGATATGAAATGTAACAAGAACAATGACGAAATGCTTTCTTATTTTTGTATACATCTTCCCTCTTATTATGGTCATCCTACATTCAACCTATCAACCTTGTCCACCCAATTTCAGTTCATTATTTTTTCATTAATATTTTGCTATTAAATATTTAATATAGGGACCAATAATAGAGCTGGAATCTATGAATAATGACTGTTTTTACATGGATTATTTATGTACTATACACTCATTTAATTAAAGATAAAATGCTGCCTACTAAAGCGATGTAACAATATGAATTATTGCATATAGACACGGAGAGAAATGAACCTAATCACCTTACTGCTCTTCTTATAATAATAATGATAGTTTCATGAAGCAACATGCTCATTGAACCAGTAATCGAATGATTGTGCTTAAATATTAAAAAAGCACTATAAAAACATTTTCAAAACAATATGTTGCTTGTTTAATAAATAGTCGGCGGAGCCAGACCTTAATAAAAAGCACGATCAAACAATATGTTCATCCAATAGAAATCTATAATTATAGTGTTCTGCGAATTTCCTTACAATCTTTCTAGGTTAATGGTTAATTATTAGGTCCACTATTTTGTAAATGAGACAATAAAAATATAAAATACATAAGATACAAAACTGAACAACAAAAAATACGCCTACAGATTCAGACATTTCCCTTTCGTAAGGATACGGGGGTGGGGGAATTTGTGACTAAATGTATCTAAGCAACACCATGGTGAGGTGCGAAAAATTGAACAGTAAATCTAGATGGCCGAAAGTGACACTTATATATATACGATTACAGTCCAAATAAAGCACCAACAAAATTCATCATTTTTGCATCACAAACCTTTACAACTGTACATTTGGTTCATGGCATAACATCATATTCGCTCTTCCCATTTATAGGCCTACAGTTTATTTCGAAAATGTTCAGGCACATACTTGACACAGGATTAAAGGGTTCTGTAGTCGATGTGTAGGACAAATGCCTTGGCAAAAAGTAATAAACAACGACTTGATGATGTGGTAGAGTAATTTGGATGGGAACAGTGGTGGCCTACTAATAGATAATAAGAGCAAGGATTTTTTTGACATGGCATCCAATTTTGTTGGGTTTCAATTTTTTTTTGAGACCCAGGGGCGGATCCAGTTTTGGCACTAAATTTTAAAATTTCAAGGCATATGGGCCTATTGATTTTAGCGCTCTCACTTATCTATTCTAAATATAATATCTACATGCTAAACTAAATTATGCTAAAAAGCATGATTGAGATTAGCAGGATCATTGCAGGTAAACTGCAAACTCAAATGAGAACCTGCTAAAGGTGCAAATTGTGGGGGAAAGAAAAGGAGAGGTAGGGCTAGACAAATGTAAGAAGAGGAAAGTTGGAAAGATACTGTCCAGGGAGCTATCTGACATAAGAAGAAATATAGGAAACCACTCCACACAGGAGCGGCGCTAGCGGGGGTCCAAGGGGATCCTCTAATTAAACCCCCTGTCGGGAAATTTCCAGCAAGGTCGTCGAGAAAAAAACCAAATCTCGAGTACTAAAAGTACAATTCAAGCATGGCTTACTAATCTGTCAGATTTTCGGGATTTAAAAAATAGTTCAGTGCGAGCAGTGATACCATATGTGCGAGGAGCTGCATACTATTACGATCGTCTGGGTTGCAGTGGTGGCGCCAGCTCTTCCACGACGGGGGGGGGGGTTACCCACGACAGGGGGACTCTTAACTTGCACGATTTTCTATCAAAGTATCATATTTAAATGAAAAATCCTATAATTAACACAAAATTTTATTATTTTTTTATAAAAAAAATACCCTGAGAAATTAAATTTTTCCCCGACCGGGGGTAGGGGGGGGGGCAGGCTTCAACAACGGGAGGGTTTGTGGACCCCCTCGACGGGGAATTCCTGGCGCCAACCACTACAGTACCAGGTATGATTGGATTATTGGCTTGCTTTAAAAAAAATCACATATTGTTGACAAGCGCATGTTCAAAATTAAGGGGCGCTTATTCAAACGGTGCGCTTATTCGCGCGAGTAAGGTATTTAAAAACTGGGGAGGGAAAGAAAGTGTAAACAGAGGATGTAACCACCCTATATATTCAACCTTTTAAAATATTCAAAAATCTCATTAATCGCTTCTGTGCTTCTCCTCAAATATGCTTTTCGTGTCTTAAACCGTTAAAACTTTGTTGATATAGTGGTGGCATGGTCTAAGTTGTAGACACATTAATGCAGACTGAAGTGAAGTGCATCCAATCTGGATACAAGGAGAGTTTTATTTTGCAGACTAATTTGGTGGTTTCTATATTTAGTCTTATAATAGTAATACTTTCAGAGAGCAAAGCGATCGTCAAATAGAAGTCCAGGGACTAAAAAGCCCCCCGGTTGTAGCGTATAAATGACAAGTTTGGAATTGATATAGTCATTGTTGCTTTGCATTGCACTGGAATTGTTGATAATAAGAAAGATATTAATACTGTTGGTAGTAATAATGACGATAATGATGATTCTGAAGATGATAATGAGGATGATGATGATGGATGACGATGGTGGTGATGATCATTGATGATGTTGATAATGAGTATAAGGATGAAGATGAGAATGACGATGGAAGATGACGACGATTGATGACGATGATGATGATGATATTAATGATGATTTAGAAAAACCCAAAAATAATTTTGCTTCAATACATTTTTTTTTCTTATTTTCTATATGCACACAACTAGGCTACAGAGAGAAAGTCCAAACACGGCCCAGAGTACAACTCACAATTAAATTACAATAACTGGGAGTGTGATCCAGGTGGAAAAATTCATGTACCGGGGTGCAACACAAATCCAACTGCCGTGTCCAACTCAGGGCAAAATCCAATCTTGGGGGTCAAAACCATGTGTAATTCAGGAGAAAATCCAACACAAGGGATCTGATCTGGTTTAAAATCATCGCATTAAATGCTAATCGAGCACAGATCGTCTTTGTAATAAATATTCTTCATATTTATTACTAATTATTTATTAAAGATATAACAAATAATTTAATTAATGAAATAATAAATTAAATAAATAAATATTTATTACAACATCCTCATTGTAAAAAATATGTAACAGTATAAACATTTTATTTATTAATTTAATTCATTATTTAGGTTTAAATTAAATTTATTAATCTGTTTAACTTCCAACAGCTATTGTTCACCATTTAAACGATACAAATGATCTAAACTTCTATTAACTTGAGATGTGGAAAAAAAAAGATTTTTGCTGGATTTGAACCAAAGAGTCTAAAATTCGTAGGAAAACGCATTAATCACAATACCACAGATTGAATCTGAATGTGCATTAACATATTTCAAGGCAAAGTTAAAGATATCTGTAATAATATAATAATGAGCATATATGATATGAAATATAAAGAAAAAAAAATTCATTGCTCATTCTGACTTTATTTAATTCATAAAAAATGTAATGTTTAGGATTAGATCAGATTGAATGTATTCAGTGTGAAGACCAAGGATAACCCACGGAAATCCAAAGACTTATTTGTAGTTGGATCTGTCTGAAAATATCTCTTACTCTTTTTGTACTGCATTCTTTATCGTGCACATGGGCCATTACAAACGCCTCATCCAAGACGATGCACTATTTTGATCTTGGATTTCAGCTCTCCAGAATAAACACCAGGCTAGCAGTAAATCAAAGATCTTATAAACACAAGATAGCGGTCTCCGCGTGCAAAATCTGTAATAACGAAGTGTAGGTGCCCTCTTGCAAAAGTGAAAACTTTTGAACTTTGACCAAAGATCTTATAAACACAAGATAGCGTTCACTGATCTCTACTATTATAGTAGAAATTAGTGGCTAGCGTTCTCCGTGATTTACGCGTAACAAATAGAAGCGTCGATTTGGCAGAGAAAAGTAATCAGTTTTAGCAGAGGGCGTCCTAGTTGTTGCCATAGATCTGAGATAAGCTGTTCTTGTTACGCCAAAGTTTGTTACCAATTACATTACTGTTCCTTAATTGTAAATCGACACTTCTAATTGTTACGGGTAAAGGTAAATTTGTGCGGTGTACGTTTATGCGTAACAATTAGAAGCATCCAATTTACAATGCGCCCTCTCTTTAGAACATTAAGCTACGTAAGCTTGGATCCGGTCTAAGCCCGGATCCGGTCCGAGCCCGGATCCGGTCCGGAGCCAGGACAAAAAATTGTGAGTTGCAACGTTTTTTGAATGCTGCGTTCACATCGCGCAAGGACCACGGTTGTTCGGGTTAAGTACGTATGCGTTTGATTGGTTCATCTTGCATAGCTTAAAGGAACAATTAACGTACTTGATAACAAACTTTGGCGTAACACAAACACCCTATCTCAGATCCATGGCAACGACTAGGATGCCCTCTCAAAAGTGATTACTTTTCCGTGCCAAATCGCTTCTATTTGTTAGGCGTAAATCGCGGAGAACGCCATCTTGTGTTTATAAGATCTTTGCAATAAATGGATTTGAACAGGGTACCAGAAGTTTAAAATGTGTCTCCACAGTTCAGCACACACACAGTGTCTAGCACCAGTTTAGTGGACTCAGCAATGCTGATCTCGGCAGCCGATTGAACTATGCTGCTCTCAAGAGCATAACAATATAATTTATCATATTACATCATAAGGTGATGTATATACACACGACTATTCCTGTTCGTTCAATCAAGCAATGTCCATGCTTTACTCCAAACAGGAAACTTCTTAAACGGTGTAGTGTGTCTCAGTGAGTAAACCGATTCTAAAACAAAAAACAAACCATTGAATAAGCATACTGAAAAATAAATACCTACTGTACACACCTATTAGAACATTTTTATAAAACCTGCTCACACAATCAATATCTATAGTAAAATTAAGAAAATAAAATACTACAAACCTTTTAGAATACTTCTGACCTTTTGGGTCATCAAGTGACTAGACTCAAGCAGTAAGGTCACCAGCCAATCTATCACCTGTTTAAAATAGATAAAACTGTATTAGTTATTATTGCAAGAGTGTTTTAAGATTTACTCAAACTGATTATTAGGAATTCTGTATAATTATATGAAGCAACGGACAAATGTGAAACAGAGATCATTGTGATACGCCCTCTTCTTAAAGCATCTTAAACAAGACGAGATCTCGAAAGAAAATAATACTTAACTACAATATGCTATATATATATATATGTATGTATGTATGTATGTATGTGTGTATGTGCGTGCGTGCGTGTGTGTGTGTGTGTGTGTGTGGGTGTGTGTGTGTGTGTGTGTATGTATGTATGTATGTATGTATGTATGTGTGTATGTGTGTATGTATGGGTGTATGTGTGTATGTATGTATGTATGTATATATATATATATATGTATCACTTAACAGTGGGAGCGGTTACATTTCGGTCTCCCAACCACAAGGTCGGGGGTTCGAACATTCGCTGTGCATTTCATTTGTGTTCTTGGACAAGGCACTTTACCTATGTTTGTCTCTCCACCCAGGAGTATAAATGGGTACTCGGTTCACTACTGGTGAGGAAAAAGGTGGCGTGGAAAGGAACTGGCCACCCTAACATTTTATAAGAAAAAATATAAACTAAGTGGATATAAGTAAGCTTATATTCATTTACATTTTGCTGTTTATATACCGCATACATATTCTAGGCATCTGATTGGTTAAGAAGCGAGCAATAAAAAGTACTATTACCCTATGGGATAGTAATTTTTTGCCTTGTCACACGATGTGCAATCGCTAGATAATTTATGAAACGCACAAACGGTAAATGAGACACAACCTCTACGACGTTGAGAGATTGGCCCTTTGATCGTCTAGGCCTAGGAAGTAAGCCTGGGCCTACTTGGTGTGTACTATTTTCATTACTTTTTTGATAGCCAATCTTCTATCGAGAATATAGGGTACGGTCTCCACATCACCTCAGGGCAATAGATTTCACCATTCCTCTCATGAGCAGTCAATATTTGTATAATATTTTTCTAACATAGAATATAAATATGTTATAAGCAATACCTCAGGAAATTCTCTAACTTGTTGACCATTTTTATATATTTTGTATACATTCATACATTGTTGATAATGTTTTCTTGTCTCAAAGAAAATATATAATTACTGTCATTGATACAAAAATTAGACACGCAAATATATATTTACGAAAGTAAGTATGTAATTAATTTCATTTGACTGTTCAGAAAGGCAATTACATACTGTACCTTATCAGTTATTTGGTTCCAGGGATTCAGTGTTAACAGAGTTACTAGTGATGCTGGAATCTGATTGGTCAATGCCTGACAAATGAACAATTCCATAGTTCCATTTCCACAGCAACCATTGTATGAACCTATATCACATTGATTATTACACTCCGTTGGAATACTCAAGCTTGTAAAATTTATTGTCGAAGACCAAGTTGTTACGGCTGCCGCAAACACCTCAATCAAAAACTGAACAGACTAAAAATAAATATATATTTTGATCGACACAATTATAATAAAAAATATTGGAAAAAGCCCTATGTTTGTGGGTCAAATTCAAATTTAGTTTTTGGTATTTAGATTCATGAATGAATCATTGTGTTAGTTGAGTTATGAATACTTAATTCATTGGATATCTGCTTGAAAAGCAGCTTTCAAAGATTCCCAAGCCAACAGATAAAAATATATTTAATTATACTTTTTAGTTAAATTTAGTGATTGATATTAACCTTTGACATCTTTTCCTATATAAACTACAAAAACGAAGAATGTATCTTCGGATGTTTTAGCTGCTACCGCAAAATATTAAATGCTGACACACAAATGTTTGATGGAGCTGGTTGCAAAATAAATTGTAGTTACCATGGGTGGGTCTTGGACAGTATTTTCTGGCAGATTCAGACCATGTGCCACGTTGTGGATATGACCCATCAATTCCAACAGCCAGGTCATGTGACTCATCACGCTAATGTGCTCACTTTTCTTAGAACCTGTCCTAGAGAGGGCGCTTAAAATATACCATATTAACAGTTGTCTCACGGCCTGGTCAGAGTGCATTGCTACATCTAATTGTTAAAAAAAGAATGAAAATAATTATCAATTAAAATAATATTTAAAAGATATAGGAGAATACATATAAACCTTGTTTTATGTTCATTAACACATTTGCTGTCAGGGACGCGAGTTCACGTCCGACAAAGTTAACTCAAGGCACCAGCTCACGTCCACACCTCTCTAAACATACCATTGTTGCACGTAAACTCACTGTCTGTAGTTGCCAGAAGTTAAAAAATGTACAACCAATCAAAGCTCAGGAAGTGAAAAACTCAAGAAACAAAGGTGAGTTCGTCTAACAGAACATTTAGCCCATTGATATGTGAATGTGCATGCGCATGAACGGACGCTTTTGATTTGCGCTAATAAATTTTCCTAGTGGAAAACAAACGTTACACACGTCACACCTAAGTATATATCTGACCTTATTCAATTACGTTCGACTACATGTTCACACACTCCAAGATCCACAACCAGTTCATCTATACTCTACTGTCCACCCAGCCGTTAAAAATCTTTTGGCAAGCGTTCATTTAGTGTCGTGACCCCAAAGCTTTGGAACGAATTCGATGACATTGTTCGCGAGTCTCCATCTATTTCCATGTTTAAGATGAGCCTTAAGACCCAACCTGTTTTGCTTTTTTTAATCAGCTTTCCTTTTCTACCCTTCCTTTTTTGGATAGGATAGTCAGATGCCAGTGTCACTAGAGCTCTTGTGAATCATGTTCTAACAAGACCTTATTCATTTGGGCCTCAAAGTGCTGGAGAACGGTCTTCTCTTTGTCTCTTCAGTTGTTTACTTTAGTCTTAAGATATTTCTTGGTTTTTATTTTTCTGCTTCCAAGACTTTGAATTTTAAGCGCATATAGACTACTGTAATATGCGCTTAATAAATACACAGCCATTACCATTAATACATCATAACCATATATAGGAACATCGAGGCTATATATGGGTAAATTATAGTTTTTTGTCAAAAAAAAATTGACAGTCTGGACTGAGCTTTAGAAAAACAACAACAATAATACTAGCTTACCAATACAAGGGTTGAGCCATGTAATGGCTTGTTTACCCTCTGACACAATATGTGACCTGATGAAAGCTGATTTTATCAAATTGCCATCTTGTACAGGAGAGGTCAACCTGTCGATGACATCACCAGGAAGTTGACATACACATTCCGACAACAAAACACTCTGACGAAGCTGGTAATTCTAAACAAAATATACAAAACATTTTTCTTGTTACAATTTATTCATAAAATGCTATGAAGCAAAAAAAAGAACAACCCTAAATGCTGCATTATGGCCTAACATTGCGTTAGTATTTTCATTTGGGTTAGTATTTTCATTTCATATTTAAAGCGACCCATAATATCAAATTTTCTATGACAAAAAACTGTTGTATGCCCATATATAGTCATGATGAACCTGTACACGGTCATGATGTGATGTCATCATGACCATATTTAGCAATGTAAAGAATTTCTGATACCCGTCATAAACTCTGAGATATTATTTCATCAAACAAAGTTTGTTGAGTTGATTTCTGACAAACATGTAATTGTGTACACCCACTTTGAGAAAATGGATTGTCCTGATAGATGCCACAAAATGACAAGTAAACTTTATATATTTTGGGGACATACTCATATTTCAAAAACACTAAAGTGTCTGTAGGACATGTGTGTATTCCTAGTCCTGATTGGTCAGTTTTTCTGACACCCAAAAAAGGTCTGTTAAAAGAAGACAAAGGTCTTTATTAGTACCTTAATATCTCTTGGAATTAAGTAATAAATATTTTCCACCGCTTGGTAAAGCAGGTACACGACAGATTGTGGAGGGTCAGGGGCAGATAGTGCGGCATTCAATCCTTGCAGTACAGCCTCACAAGCAGTAATGGTATCCGGACCAAACTTGTTGAATGGTTCAATGATGTGTGTTGCTAGGAAGAATTTCAGCTTTGCTAGCGGCAGGGATTTCATTAGTACAGGCAACGACTTGTAAAGTAATTCTTTCTCTTGAAGCTGGTAGAGAATATATATTTGGAATTTAAATCAGTAATATCTAATGTATGTAAGAGCTACAGGACATAAAAAGTATAGAAAAAGCAATTTAATATATGGGGCTTGCCATCCGCAAATCGAGTGTACTAAATAATAATAATTTATTAATTAGTAGTAATTTAGTGCTAAATGTTAAACTGAGTAGCATAAGAATGTGGCTGTATTGTATACTACTGTATATTACAGAGAAGTTTTAATCATTTTACTCATAACTTTGACAATAATACGTTGATTTCGTTTTAAAGCTTATAAAATGGAGAATATGAATATACTTAAAAGTCAATTATCTTGTTCTGGTCAATAATGCTGGTTTTGGCACTGACCTGTGTGCCGTTGGAAGTTAATGTGAAGCTTTTGTTATCTCCGCCAACCAATCCGTCAAGAAAAGTGCATATTTTTGTGTAATGGCGTCACCAGTTTAGGCCTAGTTTTAGTTTTCTCTGATTCGCAACTCGAGATTCAGCCACTGGATCCGAGGTAATGAATCGAGAACCAGAAACTGAATTTTAAATTATTGTATAGGCCTACTACCTTGAGAAAATCATCATAGTTAATACTGATTGCAAATTCACTTGAATTTTTAGCACATGTTCACAAATCAATTTGCTATATTTGGTCCTAGGCTAGGCCCTAGCCATTCCGTACTATTCAATTACCCATCATGCCACCACGGCCCAAGCATGTGTCACGGCCATAGCAACAGGCTGTGCTGCCACCAAGGGTTTGGTTCTAGGGGGAAAACGCGAATCGGGATAGCAAAAGCTCACTATATTTTTAACGAGAATGGTAACATGAACATGAAAGCACTCTATTACCTATTTAATGCGTTTTAAATGGGCTGTTCATTATTTTAATTTTGGGGGTTTTCCTGAATTTTTGTTTATTAGGACATGGCGCTTAGAGACCTTGTTTATTTGCGCCTCATAAATCGACCTATTATTATTATTATTATTATCTTTCAGTTTGCAATTTAATGACTTAAAACAAACCTCCAAGCTGTTAAACATGGCTGAGCTTGTCCAGGCAGTTAAGAAGAGTGTTGCACTGGGTGAAGAAACGCACTCTCTCAAGGCTAGCTCCAGGCACAAGATATGTACCGGTTTTCCTAAGTGTAAACATAACTAATATATCTTAAAATTAATTCACAAAATGTAATCGAAAAGTACAGCATGCTTGCTTAAATCAAGGAGGTTTAACCTCCTTGCTTAAATAATGATTGGTATTCTGTACAACTACATCCAGTCAAGCGGCTGGCAAATGGTTAGCGGCTGGCAAATGGTTGGCAACTGCCTTTACTGATCGGAGCAGTTGCTTGGTAGGGCAGTAGATGGATCCTGATATAAAGGATATTGATTTGTTTTGTTGGGATTTTTCTGTGTGACACACACTAAGAATAACCTACAATAGTTTTATGACATTTTTGCTTAATTATTTTAAATTAATATAAACATCGATGTCCTTTCACTTAAGATAAGGACAAAAGATGATAGAAACAATACTAAAAACACAACATGTAGTAACTATAATAATACAAAAATAAATAACAATTTTAATAAATATAATAAATGATAAATTCTGAAAAAAAAATGTTTTGACTGCATCATATGGAATACATTTAAAATTGAAATAAAGATTACAAAAAAGTCACAATTAAAGACACTCACCAAATTTAAGTCTCTTAATCGGGGATAATACTCCAGCCCAATTAAGAGGGGGTAGAACGGTGCCTGAGCCCTCCCAAAGAGCCCGAATGGCCACTTCCAGTCTAACTGGTGACAGGCCTTCTGGGCCAACTTTGCCTGCTTCTATCAAGAAGTCCATCGTACTTCTAAGCATACTTGTTTCTGGGAGCTGGCTATAGCTGGTCGAAGCTATTGTGAAATTAAAAATATAATTTTTACAGTTACCTAAAGTTGTAGGGCTACAAACTAGTTACTCCTTGCAAATCGTGTTTCAGAAATAATGGCCAAAACATGTTGGAATGTCAACATACTCAAAAACCTATTTTACTGCAATAAAATAAACTTTATTTATACATCATATTTAACATCTTGATATTTTTCCTATTTTCTACGTTAAAGCAATGTATTATAACGATTTGGTGATGGTCTCTGCCTAAGAAATGTCTGAAATGGTAAACTTTAAAGGCTTATTTCTCAAATGTTATTCAAACAGTTGTATATTCAAATTCCTGTAACTTCATAAAGAATAGGATTTAAATGATTCTTTTACCATTTTATAATAATAATAAATAATGTAGTACTTATATAGTGCTTCATGCACAAAGCCGCTAAGTGCTTCACATTTTATAACTGTCATTACTGTTTACCCGTGTATTAATAAATGAAAATCGATCTTTTTCTTTTTGGTTTGCCTTGTGCTAGCCACACATTCAAGTGAATATTTTTTTACTTTCTTTTTTACCTCAATAGTACAAGTTCTATCTAATATTAATTTAATTATAAAGTTATTAATATACACACACTCAGTAGCATTTTTTCCGCAATAAATTGACAATCTCTGGAATTTATAGCCTATTTACCTGAAGCAATAGATGTTGTTGATATGGTTACCATGTAAATATATCCTAACACCCAGGCTGACTGACTTTGTAATGTCATATCTGTATTGTCATTCATCAACTGAAAAATAATTACTTAATTCATTAGGTCTAAATGACATTGAGAAAGTACACTTTGTTATTAGCTTGGATATACAGGGCTATTATTGTGCTAATCAGACACCTCATGTGATACATGGTGATCTGGCATTTAAGAATCTATAATTCATTCATTTATTCGGTCAAAATTAACACACAATTCATGGAAACTTCATAAAACTGATAAAAATACAATACAATACAATATACTTTATTCGCAACTAAAAACAGTTGAATTAGGCTAGGCAATCTAGCTCAAAATATAGCCTAAAGCCAAACAAAGGTTTTTCTTTTTTAATCAAATCACACGTCGGTCACACTTCGGGAACATATGCAAATTAGCTAAAATATGCAAATTAGGTTGAAAATATAGGGGTGTCATATCTCGGCAACCGTTAGTCACAGAGACTTGCTTTCTTTTTCGAACGATTTCAAATTTGCATGTTTCTATTTGCTCTAATGGAACATTTGCCCAAAAAGTGAACGGAAATGCTACAATTGACCTCTGACCTTATATTCACTGATTTGCATACCTCTGCGACTAATGTACTTAAAATCTTGATTTAGGTCATAAATTATTCAAATACATGTTTCTTTCCAATATATTGATCAAAGGGATGAAAATCTATAATCACACCATAGTCACATGTACTGTAGATATGCAAATTAGCTCTAAAATATGCAAATTAAAAATGAAAATATAGGGTTCCCATACCTTGGCAATGGTTAGTCACACAGAGGTGCTTTCTTCTTCAGATTGCACAGAATGTGCATGTTTCTATTTGCACTAATGGAACATTTGCCATAAAAATGACCGTATATGGTAAAATTGACCTCTGACCTTATAATCACCACATTTGCATATCTCTGTGACTACTTTCCGTAGAATCTTTACTTAAGTCTTAAATTATGTAAATACATGTTTCTTTTCAATAAATTAACAAAAGGGATAGAAATCTATAATCACAACATGGTCACATGTAATGTTCATATGCAAATTAGCTCTAAAATATGCAAATTAGGATTGAAAATATGGGGTTCCTATAATATATTGATGATGGCTGATCACAGAGGGTTGCTTTCTTTTTCAAAATGTAGGCCTACGGAATATGTATGTTTCTATAGGCTCTAATAGAACATGTCACCAAAATGATCGGAAAGACAACAATTGAACTTTGACATTATATATTTACCGAATTTGCATATGTCTGTGACCACTTTCCATAGAATCTTGATTTAGGTCTTAAATTTTTTAAATAAATGTTTCTTTTCAATATATTAATAGAAGAGATGGATATCTATAATCATATTATGGTCGCATGCACTATTCATATGCAAATTAACTCTAAAATATGTAAATAAAGAATGAAAATATAGGGTCTGTATCCTAACACATTTTTAAGACTGTACGTGTGAATTATGAATATTTTAGTTTACTTTAATGTAACATTTTCCGCAAAAAGACTGGACGTGTACAATTGAGCTTTGATAATTATTATAGTGATAATAATGGAATTATAAGGCGCATATTTTCATGACCTCTATGCACATCACAATGAAAAATAAGTTTAAAAATATAAATATCAAAATAATATGTGGCTAATTATACTCCTACTCCTACAACTAAGTTATGGTTGGCCGTTGACTCCAAAGAGCTCATCTGCCTTTGTTCAGCTGTTGGTTTTTCTTGCTGCTGGGTGACCATGGCACCCTCCCCTCAGCAGCCACTAAGACACATCTGAGTGAGGTTGTATTATTAGTCGCCGAGCCTCGGCTGGATGGAGTTTAGTGTCGTACCCAGGACAGCCCTTACTAACTTAAGCTACGCTTCTTAACTACTTTAAGCAACACTTAACTACTTTTGGAAAAAAAATAAAAACTGTCCCCCTTTGGACACCATCCCGGTATTTCCAGGTTTCGGAGCTGTTTTATTGTTTACTACTGACATAAGCAGTTATTATTGGCCTTCATTCTGGTCACATAACATTTTCATGTGATAGTCATTGATGATGAACGTAATAACATTTTTCTGAAACTATTGAGGTAAAATGGTGAAGCGGGGCTGAAACTGGGTTATCCCCCGAATTATATATTTAGCCGCCTTCTTATAACACGTTAAGACATTATTAATAATTTCTTTCAAATTTAAATACATTTATCATTAGAATATATTTATCATTGTTTTAAAATATATTTATCATTGTTTTAGATTGAGCCATACCTTTACACTTTTAATCAATGGCAGTATTTGACTGGTCGTTTATCGTTAAACCACGCCCACATGCGCGGTAGTAAAATCCTACTTAACGAAGACGACCAGTCGAATAGAAAACTGGTACTCGGCAAAATAAAATGGCTGCACATTTACCGCAATACACGCTGCGTAATCAAGGCTGCTTCGGATTTTGGCAGTAGGCCTATAGGTTTCGTAAAAAAATGTTTTCATTCAGTTTTTCGAATTCTGTTAGCCTACTATATTTTTAAATTTAATCTAAATTATATTAACGCAAATGTTGTTGCTAAACTGACCAATCGGCCATATTTTTTGGTCACGTGGATAACTTAACGCTGATTAACGCATTTTGGTTACGTTAATTTTCGTTGTCAACGAAGTATATTTTACAAACCAGTTGAATGAAAATAATAATCAATGAAAATTCGTACTCAACGAAATGAACCAGTTGAATAAGCCCTTTGTTTCATATAGAACCAATATAAATCATCAAAGGTACATATACAGTGTTTTAATAAGGACGTTCCTTCAAGAACCAAATAATGTTACATAAATTGAAACTTAAATCATCTATCGCAGATTTTAAGGTTCAGCAGATTTTCAAACTTAACTTTAGAACATGATCCCAATGACGGGTAGTTATGGGCAACATGTGTCATAATATACTTGAGTTCTAGTCATATTTCGTGATAACTTCTCTATTTTAGAAATATATTATATAAAATATAGGCAAACTTTATAAATAATATTAATTTGAGACCAATGTCAAGTCTCTTGACCAGTATTCATCCAGTTATACGAAAATATATAGCGGGAAGCTGGTAATAAATGAGGGCAGACTTTTGCACAAGTCTTCTTACAAATAATATTTACGAAAAAAAATTATTATTTACTATTTCTGCTTCTAATTTGTATATTTAGGTAAACTGCATATAAAGAATGCAAGTGGACAAGGTGTGATTTCTATAATTTTATCACGTACTGTATACTATACAGTGAATGAAAAGTTTACCTGAATTTATACGGGTGCATACATATACTGAAGCAAATAGAAACACGCAACTTCTAAAAATATGAAAATAGAAAGCATCTACTTGACACCAGCAGTTTTCAAGATATGAAAACCCTATATTTTTCATCCCTAGTTTGAATAATTAGGCATAGGAAGTAAATTTTATATACAGGAATGACACATGTGACAAAGATATAGTTTTAGATATTGACTCCCTTAAAAAATATAATAAAAAGAAACTTGAATTTGAATAATTTTAACAATATATCAGATTTCTACAGTCATTAGTCTCAGAGATATATAGTATGCAAATTCTGTGAATATAGGGTCAAAGGTCAGTTGTAGCATTATGGTTGTTTGTGGGGCAAATGTTCCATTAGAGCAAATATAAACATGCGTGTCCTGAATAATTTTTAAAAGAAATCAACTTTTTGCAACCAGTAGATTTTCATCCCTTCTATTAATATAATGCAAAGAAACTATGCATTTGAATTCTTTAAGACCAAAAATAAGTTTCTATGTACAATAGCCACAGAGATATGCACATTTCAGTGAATATAAGGTCAAAGGTCAATTGTAGCATTTCCATTCATTTTTAAGGCAAATGTTCCATTAGAGCAAAATACAAACATGCATGTTCTGATTAATTTGAAACAAAAAGCAACTCTCTGCGACCAGCGGTTGCCAAGATATGAGAACCCTATATTTTCAACCTAATTTGCATATTTTAGCTAATTTACATATGTTCCCGAGGTGTGACCGAGGTGTGATTTCTGGAATTTCATCCCCTCATTACATATATTTGATTAAAAAAGAAAAACCTTTGTTTGCAATTTGTTTGACTTCAAATGCTAGATTGCCTAGCCTAAATTGCACATACATAAAAATGTTCTAAAAAGTTAAAAATATTGAAGTTTAGACAAAAATGACAGTTAAAATATGAACAGTCAGGTTACAATATGCAAGAGACAAAAGAGAATCTGAAGCTATTATAATTGAAAATATTATAATTATTATTATTATTATTAAAAAGTTAAAAAATTTCGAAAAAATTGCATATAAAATAGAGAATGATTTAAGACAAATGTACATTGAATAAATGTAAAAACCTTATATATTAAAAAGTTAAAAAATTATTTAAAAAATTGTAAAATGTTGATATGAAATGATATATACACCGTAAAAAAAAAATTTATAATGATGAACTTGAAATTGCCTGTGAGGCCAAGATACTTGGTCTCCACTTAAAATTGAAGGTACATATGCATCTTGTAGAACCAATAGGGATTACCCTGGTGGGCTGGTTTACACAGCCCCTGATACAGTGGAACAATGTAAAGAGTCCTTTTTGGCAATTGTGATACTCACTGACGACTGGCCATATTCAAATTCAAGTGATTTCCGAATGAAAACATGACCAAATATTGCCAAAACATTATTCTCTTTCCAAAAATCGTGAATCGATGTGAATAGTGAACCCAATGAAGAAAAATTGAGATTTACTGTACAAGCATGCACAGCTCAAATTTACTATGTCTCGGCTGAAAACGATTGATATTTCTTGCTTTAAACTTAGTTTTACGTCAGTTTATTAGTTTAAATGTTTTCTTTCTTAGCTAATACAACATTTTATGTTATTTTTGAAGATACTTGGTCTCCACTTTCAAGATAATTTAAAGTGGGATGCTATGGCTAACAATATATTTTGAAATGTAGTAAACATCTACACATTCTGTATAGGTTTAGAGGTTTTGGTATCCCTACGACTGATCTAATATCTGTCAACATTGGACATAATTACGCTTTCAGTTGATGACGATGATAATAATGATAACTAAGCATTAAATGTTCAGACGGCCTTCCATCTGAGATGTTACTTCGAATACACAAGGAATAATGTTCTTTTACTTCAAAGCCAAGACTTACAACAGGTAAACTGCTATTTCACAGCTTACTTCTAACTTGTCTGAACATGTATAATGATGACAATTATCATAATCATTACGATTATTATTTAAAATGCTTCAATTCCAGGATTTAGACTTGGATAAACAAAAGTTATATATATTCCTCACCAATATAAGCTGTTTGACAAGACTGGTCATTCTAGCATTCATGTCAGAGGTCAATGAACCTTCTGAGACATTGTACACAAGTGTGCCCGGTCCAGCTACTAATGTTGTTAGTCCACTCACAGCCATTAGACGCTCAACTGTACCTAGGGTCTAGTATAAAGATAAAATAATTTCCATTTTTTTTGCTTTGTAGATATGTCTTAAAACAAAAGTTACAAAATTTACATAATATTGAAGGAAAAGCATAAAATATCAAAAAGAATGTTATTTCTAGTAGCAACATTATGCATCCGTGTAGAATCCCTTTAAAACCCTACAAAGTTATAATATCATTCAATAATTTTTTTAAATGTATTTAAAACAATTTAAAACAGTTACCTTTTGCTCAAACTTATCAAACCAAGATGTGCACACTTCATGATAAATTTCAGAAACTTGTGGATGGTCAGCTCTCAGTAGGCTGTGAAGTAACGATCCAAAACTGAAGGCAGACAAACAAGATTCAGGTTGGCTCTTCAGTAGATCATGCAATCTGGAGACAACTTTCATTACAACATCTTTAGGCACCAAATTGGCAGCAAACATAGATGCAGTTACACAACTTATACACATTAGAAAACCCTGCCATACAAAATCAAATAATAATATTAAATGTATTAATCTATGGGAAACCCTGAATAAGCAAAACAGAATACACGAATAAACGTATTGCTAATGATTTAGCATTCTTTCATTCTATTGAGGTTATGGCATATTGCATGGTAAAAAGTGTATTACATTACAGCTCCACGATCTCAATCAAGGAATAAAGATAGAGGGTAAAAGTAGGAGAATAACCCATAACTCCAGCGTCATTATGCTGAATTGCGTATGGGTGTGGTCCGCGACTACCTAGCGGCCTTAAAGAGGCACTTATAGCAGAATACATGTTCACATCATTGTGTTATTATGGATGTACAGTTAGCGGCGCCCCTGTCTTACCGCTCGGCCACTCACATCAGATGGTAAGGAAGTAACATCACAACTTTAGCTTTAACATGAGACCCTTCTTGTATATTGTTAAGTTGAAAGAGCTAAGGGTCAAAACTTAAAATTGAAGGCACATATGCATTTTGTAGAACCAAGTGTTAATTTTTAGAAAAAATAGGGATTACCCTGGTGGGCTGGTTTACACAGCCCCTGATACAGTGGAACAATGTAAAGAGTCCTTTTTGGCAATTATGATACTCACTGACGACTGGCCATATTCAGATTCAAGTGATTTCCGAATGAAAACATGACCAAATATTGCCAAAACATTATTCTCTTTCCAAAAATCGTGAATCGATGTGAATAGTGAACCCAATGAAGAAAAATTGAGATTTACTGTACAAGCCTGAACAAGCATGCACAGCTCAAATTTACTATGTCTCGGCTGAAAACGATTGATATTTCTTGCTTTAAACTTAGTTTTATGTCAGTTTATTAGTTTAAATGTTTTCTTTCTTAGCTAATACAACATTTTATGTTATTTTTGAAGACTTTTAAATAAAATTTAAAGTGTTTTTGTAGTTAACAATGATCGTTCGTAATGACTGCATCGTCGCAAATTAGCGGGTTCGTAAAATCTAGAGTTCATAATTGGGAGATTTTACTGTACAATGACACTGCGAGTTACTTGATTAATTACATACATATTCGTAAAACTAAACTATTACATGGCCAATTGGTTCCTTTATATTATACTACATTCATAATGCTTAGACAATTTAAGATTTTATTCTGATCATTAAGAAAAAGACTTATTTTTTACAGTGTGAAATGTCTATCTTAAAATAAATTAAACATAAGTCTATTTCTTTCTGTAATGAATTAAAAAAAACACATACTTGACTCAAATTCTCCATAATTTCCATGTTTTCTAACCTGGCCTTGAGTTTACCAAACATAGAGGAGAGATGAACCCTGGTTTCAGTGGAGCCATCATGGCACAGCCCTACCAAGGCCAGCATAAGGCCTAGGTAGATGCCAGCACTGTCGTTAGTATGATCATCTAAAAAGCTTAGCTCTTCTAGCTGATCTAATGCTTTCATGATGATTAGTTTTCCCTGTTGAAGATTTAAGCGATGTAGATTAAAGTAAGATACATTTGCCACCATAAAAAAAATGGTCAGATATTATTGGGCAGAATAGAACGTGGCTATTATACTGGTATAGGCATTTGTAATGCGCCTCTTCCTTGAGGGTATAAAGCGCACTTCTTTTCCCTGGTCATTGTTTCCACATGGTTTAATTGTTGCTGCTGGTAATCAGCGCAGGAGCAGGCAACCCCACCAGGTACCCATTTATACTCTTGGGTGGAGAGAAGCAATGCAGATAAAGTATCTTGCTGAAGAACATTCGAAATGCACAGCGAGGGATTGAAACCTCAACCTCAAGGTTGGGAAGCCAAACCGTTCCCGCTGCACCAAACTGCTTCCACGTATCATAGACATGCAATGCTCTAGAATGGATAGTTCTATTATTTTTTATAGGGGTACTAGTTAAGAATTCTAATAATTAGTTTAGAAAGTAAGTATTCACAAAACAGAAATCATCACTCAGAATATTGTTTTACTTACTTCTTGATCCGTAACATCTATGAAACGTTCTTCATATAATATTTTAAGAAGACAACCAAGTCCTAAGCTGATATGCAGAGACACCATCGGTACCTCATCTGCCTGATTCTGCCCAGGCAACCCTGAAGATAAACATTTCACCATCTTGAAAATGAGCTCTGAATAATTTGTTGTGAGGACAGGGACCAAGGTACTAAGAGCAAGTGCTGCACATGACTTTACTAAAGGACTTGATGAAAACTGACTTCCTTTCGCTGAAGATCTCTATAATAAAAATATGTTAACAATAATGGTCATCATCATCATCATAATCATCATCTTGATTACTTTTGTAAGAATCTCTTATGGTTATTTTTATGTCAGAATATAGGAAGTCATTGATCTGTATACCGAAAAAGACTTCTTTACCATTCTTGCTGATAGATTACTTTAATACTGTTAAGATGGAGGGCATGTATGCACATAATTACAATAATAGTAATTAATAATAATAATAAAAATAATAACAACAAAAACAACAACAGCGCAGGAGCCATGATCATAGCCAACAATACCATAGGCCGAGTGTACACAAATGCTCATGTGCACTTTAAAGAACCCTGTACATCTTTCGAGATGAGTAGGGGGGTTACCCCGGTGTACTGGTTCACTCGGCCCCTGTCGTGGACTGTTTTATGTGTACTAGACCCTCTGGGAGAACAGTAATTTGTTACTGAAGAGGAAACCCAGTATTAAGAACAAATAAATAAAAAAAAAAAAACAACATATAATAATAATAATATTTTTAAATATATAAATCCCCTTTCATAATTAATGATGCAAAGTGCTTAAAGAAAGTTAATAAGTAGCAATTAGTATAGTCCTATTCTATACACTACAGCAAAGTTAGTAAACGAAGTCTGCTACTGTGACATAAAAAATTTCAATGCAATTTACCTGACACCAAGTGAATACTCGCTTGCTTGGTCTGTAGTTACTGCTCACCATACATAGCACAGTTTCTGTCACCGTCTCTAGCCAGTAGTTTTGGCCCATGTGTTCAGGGGCATCAGCTTGATTGTGCTGACCTTCTGGGCCTAGACTGTTCGCATATTTAGTGCTAACATAGGCTAGAGATGCTAGGGCAAGAACGGAATTTGCCTGGGCACTAGGATTTCCTCTGGAATGAATAAGAAATGTTCATTGATATTTTGAAAAATTCTGCTTGGCTTTGCTTGTGTATATTGTGAGTTTTAATTTTTAAGGGTTATTTTTTCCTTTTCAAGGCTAACCTGTTCAGCAAATATCTAACTGTACACACACAAGGCCCAGTTATGCTTTATAAACTAAAGTTTCATATTGAAGCTTAGGAAAATGGATTGTATTTAGTAATGGGGAAAAGTTCTGCTGCCACAGAAATTTAACCTGGGATTCGAAGGCAAGCATCACCAAGCACTTCAATCCAAATTTTTATATTCTGTTTCTCTACTTCATAATATATATATATATATATATATATATATATATATATATATATATATATATATAT